AATAATAATAATAATAATAATAATAATAATAATAATAATAATAATAAAATCACAAGTGCACTGTTTGATTCAATTACTGCCTTGGAAAAGAAACTGTTTCTCAATCTATTAGTCCTCATTTTAAGACACTTAGAACGCCTCCCTGATGGTAACAGATCGAAATATGAATGTCCAGGATGAGAACGGTCTGTGGAGATTTTTAGTGCTCTAGAGAGGAGTCTGGTCTTCGCAATCTCTTCCAAAGAAGAAAGAGAGCAACCGATGATTTTTTTGTGCTGTGTTTATAACTCTCTGGAGCATCTTCTTATCTTCTTATCCACTGCAGAGCATCCAGTACACCACACTGTTATACAGTATGCCAAAATGCTCTTGATGGTAGACTAAAAAGTAACCAGCAACTTCTCACCCAAACCACTCTTATTTGCAATGAGAAACTAATTGCCATGAAAGCAGTGGTGGGATTCATTTTTTTTTTACTACCAGTTCTGTGGGCATGGCTTGGTGGGCGTGGCATTGCATGGCTTGGTGGGTGTGTCTTGGTGGGCGTGGCAGGAGAAGGATACTGTAAAATCTCCATTCTCTCCCCACCCCACTAACCTGCTTTCCAGCTCCGTTCTCCTGTGGAAGGCAACAAAAGAAGACCCAGCCAACCAGCTGGGACTCGGGAGGCAGAGAATAGATTGGGGCAGGGCCATTCAGAAGTGGTATTTGTCGGTTCACCGAACTACTCAAAATTTCCACTACCGGTTCTCCAGAACTGGTCAGAACCTGCTGAATACCACCTCTGCATGAAGGGCTCAATTACCAAAACACAAGTTCTACATGTTGTCTGACCATGAAAGTCAATTTGGCTCTCTTTTAAAAGCAGCAAAAAGTTAATTGCTGAACATTTGCATGGTATATTTTTATTTCCTTACATCAGTGACCTGAATATACTGTAGAGTTTTTTGACATTCATATTTTACTGTATTTTTAATTTAGGTGAAATGTTAGTGTACGTTGTAAGTTTGTGTATGTTATGCCATATGCTAAATAAATATTTTTTCCCCATGTGATGAAAAAAATGTGGCTGCTTTCTGTTGCTGTGAATCTAGGCTTGTGATGGAAATATGAAATAACAAAATGTTTTGGGCCCTTCTGCTCAAAAAGTTTATTACAGAATAAACTGAGATCCCATATTGAAGGAATGAGCAACTTGCTATGGTTCTGCAGCACCTCTAGAATGTGCCACCAAAATAACTGAATTTAGAGCTTTGAGGAGCAATTGCAGAACTTACTGGTGGGAAAGACAGAAAGAAGCTTCTGACTTTTTGAAGTTTCCTGATCCCTAAAAGTCTTGGAGGGAAAAAAAGTAAATGCCAAAAATGGTCCTTAGTAATGTCATAGCATTATTTAATGGCCATTTAGAATCTTCCAGAAAGCCAAGGAGCTGAGTTAGGGCATCAATCTCAAACATTGCCCACATTCATTCATTCATTTTTCACACTTCTGAACTGCTCATCTCTGTCAAAAAAGGACCCTGAGCGATATACAACCCACACGCCTTCGTGATCCTTTGAGAATGGTGAGGACAGCCAAGAAGATTATTAGAAGCTTGCTTCCAGTTATTCAGGACACTGCCTATAAGCGCTATGTGCTGAGAGCTCAAAGCCTTGTTAGAGACCCCACACACCCACCTCACAGTCTGTTTCTGTTGCTCCCCTCTGGGAGGAGGTTTCGAAGTATTTCGAGAAGGACTACCAGATTTTATAAAAGTTTTGTTCCCTATGCCATCTGCCTGGTAAACTCACAGGATTTGTTTTTCTCACCATGTACATGACTGTGTTGTTTCTCAATGTCATATAATATACATGTAATATAATATATTACATAATATAATATAATTTTGCATTTATGTGTTTATTTAGTCATATTTATGTAGTGTATATTGGAGGTGGAGACCCTTTGAGAACTGTATGCAATGAAATTTCATTTTCATGTGCATTCTGATTAGTGTACATTCAAAGTGACAAAGTTATTCTATCTATCATCTATCTATATCTATCTATCTATCTTTCTATCAATCATCTATCTATCTATCAATTATCTATATATCAATCATCTATCTATCTATCTATCTATCTATCTATCTATCTATCTATCTTTCTATCAATCATCTATCTATCAATCATCTATCTCTATCTATCTATCTATCTATCTATCTATCTATCTATCTATCTATCTATCTATCTATCTATCTTTCTATCAATCATCTATCTATCTATCTATCTATCTATCTATCTATCTATCTATCTATCTCTATCTATCTATCTATCTATCTATCTTTCTATCAATCATCTATCAATCATCTATCTATCAAATCTATCTATCTATCAATCATCTATCTATCTATCTATCTATCTATCTATCTATCTATCTATCTATCTATCTATCTATCTATCTATTATATCTTTGAGCTCCCCATGCAAGGCTGCAGTGCTGTGTTTTAATCCCTTTTGGAGGGTTAAACTCTTTTAAACTGGGTGTCCATTTGGATACATTTGACTTTCACAGCAAGTGTGTTTCAGACTGAGACAGTGCAATGCTGAAATTTTTCTAAACTGTCTTCCCTATGGATATGTTCATAAGAGTCCCATAAACTGGGATAGGAACAGGGTTAGAATGATTTTGTTCACAGTAAGCTCACCAAGAGAAATCACATTTTCATGAGGCTAGTAAGGAGCAAGGTAAAATCTCTCCTGCTGTTAAAAAATAAACAAGACTTACCTGGCATTTCTCACAACACTCCCCATGTGCGCACTTTGCCCCAGGTTTCAGTTTACAAGTGGCAGCTTCGCAGCACTCATTTTTACATTCCTGAAAACCAAACGTATCAAATGACATCATCAGCTTTTCTTTCTGGTCTCTTTTAATTGGCCTATTTTGAAGAGGAGAACTGCCAAGGAAACTGATATTTCTGCCATGTGCTCCCTCTTATGGATTCAAGCTAGAAAGTGAATGTGACTAACAGTTACCTGAGTGTTTGTTATTGCAACCACCGGATGATGGCATATTTATGTGAAATATTATCTGATATTTCTTATGTGAAAAGAATAAAATAAATAAAAACATCCTCACCTCCTAATTGTAAAGCCCACATAACCTGCAGCCCAAATCTATTGCTTATTCTGAGGGGGTTTCTACTCAAGATTTTCTACTTAACTACCCTTTGAGACAGTCTAGAGGAGCGGCAGCAACCATGAGTATTTAACACCACCTTTATTGTTAGCTAACAATAATTGAACCTTTCAAGGCCAAAAGTACATTTCTTCTCCCTCATCTTTATGGTCCAAGAAAGTGGGTGGGAGTTGTTCCTCTTGAGATGTTTTTCATGCCCCATTACTTCTGCAGGTTAAGCTACCTCTTATCTGACCACTACCTAGTAGTTCATCCTCCTTCTGTTTCTCAAGGACATTCTCAAAGACCATTACACAATTGCATTGACTCCATTTAACAATTTAAGGAGAACGTTTTATTAAATTACTGTTTGTGTCTAAAATTACTAGATCTTCTAGTCCAACCCTCTGCCCAAGCAGGAGACCCTATACCATTCCAGAAAAATGACTGTTAATCTCATCTTAAAAACTGTCAGTGAGGGAGAGCACCCACAACTTCTTAATTCAAGCCATTGCACTGATTAATTGTTCACACTGTCAGGAAATTTCTCCTTAGTTCTAAGTTGGATCTTTGCTTGATAAATTTCCATCCGTTACTTCTTGTCTTGCCCTCAAGTGCTTTGGAGACTGGCTGTTCCCCTTTTCTTTGTGACAGCCTCTTAAATATTGTAGGACTTCTCTTCATTAGACTAGACATATCCAGATTCTACAACTGTTTGTATTTTATGTTTTTGGCCTCTAGACCTCTTATCATCATGTTGCTCTTTTCTGCTCTCTTTCCAGAGTCTCAACACTTTTTTTATTCTGTGGTGATCAATAATGGATGCGTTATTCCAAGTGTGGTATTACCAAGGCACTATATGGTGGCAGTAATACTTCACATGATCTACTATTCCTCTATTGATCTACTATTTCTCTGCTAATGCAGCTTAGGACTGCATTTGCTTTTTTTTTGGCACTTGCAGCACACTGCTGGTTCTTAATTAAGTGATTGTCCATTAGAATACCTAATTCCCGTCAAAGTCACTGCTGTTGAGCCAGGTACTACATACTCTTTTCTTCCTATAGAAGCCTACTTTTCTTGCCACTGAACTGCATTTTGTTGGGTAGGGTCCAGTGTTCAGGTCTGTCTAGTTCCTTCTAGCTCTTGAGCCTATCTTCTAAAGCAGGGGTCACCAACCTTTTGGACCTCAGGAACCACCAAACTCATAATTTTAAATCCCACAGACCATTAATATGAATTTTTACTGATGGTGGCTTGCTGATGTTGGTAGGAAAGTCAGTCCCATATTCCAGAGCTGCAGTAGTCACAAGACTGGCCCTTTGGTCATCCTGAATGATCAATCGGTAGGAAAACAGGGTGGAGAATTTTCCTGCAGACTATTTTTGGGATTTTCCCAGGGTTTCTGCAGAAAAAGCAGAAGCAGCAGAGACCCTGAGGAAAATCCCCCCAAAAGTCTGCAGGAAAATTCCCCACCCCGTTTTCCTACCAATCGATCATTCTTTATTTGGGATCGCAGGATTCCGTCTCCAGCTCTGTTCTCATGGGGAGAGACAGAGAGAGAGAGACTTTTGACTTCATGCAAGGAAAGCAGCAGAAGCAGCAGAAGTATTTCTTTCTCTCCCACAAACTCTGCCAGAGATGAATCTTTGTGAGACTTGTCATACTGGTGCAGCCTCTTGGAGCAGAATGCCTTGCAGGGTCCCAAAGACTCATTTCTGACAGAATGTGGGGGAGAGAAAGAAAGACTTTTGCCGCTTTCCTTGCGTGCAGCCAAAAGCAGAAGAAGAAAGAAGTAGCCCAGTGACCAGCCATGGGGCGTGGAGTGAGTGGGGCAAGTTCCCCCCCCCCCCCGTTTGCCCTTTCCCCCCTCCCCTCACTATCTCGTGTTGTTCTCAATACAAGTGACGCAAGCCTTTTGTTCCCGCACAGCCTGGATTAATTGCTTTGGGGGTGGCATTTCTCTGTGGATCACTAAAATTTTCTCACAGACCACCAGTGGTCTGCAGACCACCAGTTGGCAACCACTGTTCTAAAGTGTTGGCAATTCCTGCCAGATTGGTATCATCTGCAAGTTTGATGAGTTTATCTTCTATCCCCTCATCTAGACCATTTATAAAGTTGTTGAAGAGAACTGGGGCTAAGACAGAACATTGAGGTACCCCAGTGTACACTTCCCTCCATGTAGCTGTAGTTTCCATTGAGGAGTACATGTTGAAAGCAGAGATTCTGGAGCAAGCAGCTCAAGAAAATAGTAGGGATAGATAATGTGGCCAATGTAAGAAAGTAATGGGACCATTTCAACAGAGTAGGTGTTTTCAATGGGGAAGGATTTTCTTGGAGTGATAAATCACCCATTTTTAAAAATATGTTGTTCTTCCCAAAATAGTAGTGAGGTATTAGTTCTCCATTCCTCTACAACTGGTTTCTTAAATCCAGGAAACCTACATAATGCATGTTCATAAAGGGCACAAACTATGCTATTCACAAACTAACCTATTGGACAGCTCACATCAATTAAAAAAAAACAGATGATTTTGCAAGGATTCCTATTTTTGAGAAACTTCTTGGAACCATCCTTGTTCATTACAAAAAAAAAAAAAATACCTTTGGAAGGCCACAGTCACATTCTTCTCCCTCCTCCACAAATTCATTCCCACACACTGGAGGTGAAATCACATCTTTGGTTGAGGGTCTGTTGATGATGCATTGTGGGGTTTCATTCATGATATAATTCTGATAAAACTGTGAACTGCAAGAACTGAACTCCTGGGGAGTTATATAGCTGTAAAGATGAACCAATATGAGATCATGATCATTCATATGTGGACCAGGAATAGAATGCATGGCAAAAACAGAAAAAAAATTGGCTAATGAACAAAGCAGTGTTGTTTTTCTTTAAAGCTAACAAAATAACTATGAGAAATCTTTGTACCCTTTGATCTTATTATGCTCCCTCAGTTTTAATTACACTAACTTTTTTCTTTTTTTTTTTTAACACAATGAATTTGCAATGAGAACTCCATGTGGTGTTAGTGCTTAAGCTATTTCTTGTGTTTGAGTAGTCCGCCTTTACTTTTCATTTTCAGTCAGTCTCTCTGTGGAAGAGGAGTCTGGAAATGATACAGTGACTTTGTTGGTGGGATGAAGAAGAAGTGGCAATAATATAATTGAAGGGAAAATAGTGAAATCTTGACCCTCTTTTTCTTTTCTTCTTTTGGAGAAGAAAGGCTTGTACTTTTTATTGCAAATGAATGTTTTAAGGCAACAGGAGAATTGATACACTTATTGGACTTCTGTTGCTGAAAAGGTCTTGCAACTTGCCATTGATCTCTGAAATTGCATATTTAAAAGGGATGCCAACATGCTATCACCAAGCCCACTCAAGCCCCTTCCTAATGCTATTACAAATCATTAGGAATATAATTATTGGCCCTCAAATTAAGAGGGTGAAATTAAGAACCCAAAGATGATCTGCTGGTGGCCACTAAAGAGATAACGTGGTCTTCTTTGAAGATCAAAATTGCACCAGACCCATTAGGTGGGGTTTATTGAGCAAACTGTTCTCCAAGCAAGGCCTTCTGTACAAAATACCACAAAGTGGTTTTGAAGTATTAAGTAATTGTGACGCACAAAAATCCTTCAGTAAGGACAGGAAGGGTTAGTTAGCATTCTCAATACTTCCTGAAGTCATTGCCATTGCATAAAATATGAGACAACAAAGTCCTAGAGCTTTGTCAGAAGAAACCAGAAATTTGACAACAGGTGGCATGTTCACTGAGGCTATAAAAATATTACACAAAAGGTAATTGGGTGTTTTGCAATACATAATTCCTGAGATCTTTCCTTTCCCTTCCTTTCCCTTCCTTTCCCTTCCTTTCCCTTTCTTTCCCTTCCCTTCCCTTTCCTTCTCTTCCCTTCCCTTCCGTTCCTTTCCTTTCCTTTCCCTTCCCTTCCCTTCCTTTCATTTCCATTCCATTCCTCCATTTCCTTTTCCTAGGAAGTAGAGGCTAAAAAAGGACTAGCAATATAATTGCAGTGGTGGGCTGCAACTGGTTTAACAACTGGTTTGGCGAACGCATGCGTCGAGTGCTTAGCCCTCACACACAGCATTAAAAAAACTGCCTATTTTAAGCTTTAAAACTTACCTTCTATGTCAGCGCTGGTGAGTAAAACAGCTGAGGCGCAAGTCAGCTGAGCTAAAAAAACCACAACTGGGACCAGCCTTTCCATTAGTAAACAAGGCAGTTATTACGTGAACTGCACCATCATTAAGAAGTCAGGTTTCCTCCACTGTCTTATCAGAAGACAGTTGAAAAGGTCAGTGTTCCGAACTAAGCAGGCTTGTAAGCCTGCAAACCGGACTAGCCGTTCCTCAAGCAGGCTCGTAATCCTGCACTTTTGATTGGCCGTTGACAGTGAGTTGCGATTGGTCATTTGGGACTGATCTGATTGGCTAGTTAACGGGCTGCCGCGATTGGACTCTCCAAGCGCGGCAAACTTAAATCATTGGATGCTTTGACAGCAGCCAGCTCTATAAAAGGAGCGGCTGTTGTTATTCCTTTCGGTCTGTTCCTGAAGTCACTAATAAAGAGTTGGAGTCACTATTCGATGTCTCGTCTCCGTTATCGCGCCTACCCTCCGAGATAGAACAGTCAGGAAATGGTAATCACAGGAACCCAGGATGCTGCAACCATCGTCAATGCACGCTGGTTGCCATGCCCCGGAATTTTGATCATGTGAGGGGAGGCTGCTATGGTTGTAAGTGCAGTTGTAAGTCAGTTTTTTCAGTGCCTTCAAATGTAACTTCAAATGGTTGCTAAACAAATGGTTATAAGTGGATGGCTACCTGTACGTTACTATCTGTTGATTTCAGCAGACTGCAATATATGAAAAATGTAACGTATCTTCCACCTTGATGAAGACAGGAAAACCCCAAGGACACTATTTAATCTTTTTCCTTCTGCTGTTGCCTAGTTCAGAATATTTTCCCCATTCTGCTTCCTATTTTAGGAAAGTCTTTAGGAATAGGAATAGCACTTAGACTTATATACCACTTCACAGTGCTTTCCAGTCCTCTCTATGTGGCTTACAGAGTCATTTTAACCACCTTGGAAGGGTGGAATGCTGAATCAACCTTGAGCTATTGAGAATCAAACTGCTGGCAGCTGGCAGCCAACAATCAGCAGAAGTAGCCGGCAGTACTGCACTCTAACCACTGTGCACGGCTCTTTAATGTCTAACTTCGTTTCCTCTTTTATCCATCACAGATATTTCTTGGCCTATGTTGCCTAGGCTATTTCTTTACACTATTGTTAACTGCAACTGTTTGAAAATTGCTTGATCTGAAAGTCATTAAAAGTTTTCCTGATCCCTTACCCTTGCTTGTCAGCCATAATGCACGGGCCAGTCTTGCAGGTACACAAATCTGTGTCATGATTCATGCCAAAATTATGACCCAGCTCATGGGCCATTGTTGCCCCCATAGCTATTGGGTCCGTGTTGTGATCCTGAAAACAAGAAAACACTTTGTCTATTGTTAGTCCGCCAAGAAACCAAAAGTGAATTCAATTATTACTAGCGCTGAACTGAAACCTTTGCTCCAGGACCTTCTAATGAAAAAAATCAAAGAGTTAGAAAAAGAGATTAATAATTTTCAGAGCTGAAATAGGGTTTCTTACAAAAAGTAGTTTCTTTCTTTAAAGTAACGAAGTGTACTAACAATTTTCAGTAGCTTAGAGCAGGGGTGGGATTCTACCGGTTTAGACTGGTTCAGATGAACTGGATGTTAACTTTGCATCTGGTTTGCTGAGCCAGTATTTGAACTGACCAGATGGCCCCGCCCACCCTGCCCCACCCCGCCCACCCTGCCCCACCCCGCCCCTCCCAGTAGTCTCTGTGTGGCCAATTTTTGATGAAGTTAATTGCAGGGTCTGCATGAAGGTTCTGGGAGTGGGGAAAACGGACCTTCCGGAAGTCTGGAAATGGGCCTGTTTCCAGCTTCCCTTGGGCCTCCAGAGCCCGGGGGAGGCCTGAGAGGACCTGGGAAGGAGAAAAACGGGCCTCCCAGAAAAATCGGAAGTTGCAAAACGGGCCTGTTTCTGGCTTCCGGAGGGCCTCCAGAGCCCAGGGGAGGCCGTTTTCACCCTAGAGGCCTGAGGGAAGCCCCTCTAGACCCTTGAAAAGGCAAAAAACAGCCCTCCCGGAAGGTCCAGTAGGCCACACCCATGATGGCCATGCCCACCCAGCAACTGGGCAGCAAACTGGTTGCTGGGATTTTTGAATCCCACCCCTGGCTTAGGGATGGTGCTTTCTCCACAATTATCTCACTGGAATGCTGTGATATTACAAAGAGGTCTTCTATTGTTTATTTACAATTATTTATTATTATTATTATTATTAATTAAAAGTATTATTTATTTGTCCGTGTTAAAAAAAGTGAGATGTAAATTGAAAGCTAGCTTCAAAGGGAGTGGAAGGAGTAAGAACCTTTCTCCAGACCATGCTACTGTGTTTGCTTTTAATGTAGAAAAATACTAAGAAAGTATACTGTTTAATGTGAAACCTGAAACTAAAGGATTACATCAGTAGTCCTCAACTTTGTAAACTTAATTGAACCTGTCAATTAGAGTTTGGAGATGTCAAATTAATAAATAAGGTTGGATGAAAATGATGTGGATCCAATATAAGAAGAGTCTTCTTATATTTTATATTTTGGGAGTTTTATATTTTGAGATATTTTGGAGTTTTCAATGACCATAAACAAGTAACAGGTAGCTTTTCTACCCACCTGAATAATTGCTGTAGATGTCAAAGAATTGCACATGGTACCAACGTAAGCCAATCCTACAGTACTTCCAGTTAAGTCAATGTCCCTATAAGAAAGAAGAGGGGGATAAAATTTGTAGAAGATGGGAGCACATTTTGTAGTCTTGGGGATGTATAACCTCTTATGCCTTTCACAAACCCTATATCCTGTCCTCAGTTCCTGCCAGTTTTCAGGGTTAGAATTATGTAATAATTCATTTTAGGCTCTGCTCACATAAGCCATTTAACTAAGCAGATCTGTTAAACATATTCAGGATGAATTTTCACAACAGGCTAAGTTTGGTTGGTGTAAGCCTTCATTAAGTGAAGGAAAAGGGTTAGCATGTTGTGTGAATCCAGTCCATTTAGGTTAATTTAGATTCCATGTACTGTGAACACTGAAATGCAGATTTATTTAATAATTAGATTTCTCCTATCAGTTTAGCCATGGTGTTATTAAAAACTAAGTGAGCTTGGAAAAAGTGACTAAGTGTGGGGGATCAAATCAACATCTGTGGGAAAAATAAAATTGATTTTTTTCTATGTTTTATATTCTCCTTTTTTTACTTTGATCTGCATTCCATCTAGCCCCAATATATTTTATAAGACCCATTTGTTATGCACAGATTCTGTAGGATTGCTCACAGCAGAGTTATTACTTTTCCAATATATTGTAGATATAATCCAGTAAATTTGACAATTTCTCACTCATAAAATTGTATGGCAATATATAGGCTGAATTCACACTGCATCTATAACCAGATCATATTAAGATTTAGTCTAGATGATAGATTTATACATCCTGTCAAACTCAAGATTAGCTATTTTTATTTTACTATATTATTGGTTTATCTGTTGTGTAATGGAAGTATTCATTCAGTTGGGACAGAATGGAAACCAAAACATCATTTAATCAGATTAAAAATGCATGTGTAAGTACAACCAAAACATAACAGGGTAATCACTTCAGTTTCAATTTCAAATCCAGGTGAAATCAAATCAAGCTGCGTTTTTGACTGGCAATCATTCAAAGACTTCTTAAAACCAGCTCTCATATACAAAAAAAAAATTGTGTTGGCTTTGACCCAGAAATATAGTTCACACAAGCTTTAAAGCGTGCAGCATAGAGTGGAAGTTCTGTGCAAGCACTAACTTTCCCATAATCCTCCACTCCCAGCCACCTCCATTCCCTTTCCCCACAATGAGACATACGTGAGTAACTGAGCATTATCATTCCTTTTGCGCTTCAGCAGAACTGACTGTCTCCATGACGAAAAGTGGTTCAAAGTGGCACCTGCTGTTTCACTGATCTCAATCTTATCTTCATCGGACCAAATTTCTAAGCCAATCAATGCTACATGAACCTTCAAAGGTTTGTAAACCTGTGTGGTGGATATGGCATCAATCAGAAACTCAAACACATATAAACCTTGAGAAACGTTTCTAGACTAAAAGGCAACTGACATTAGTTTCTAAAGACAGGTGAAATGGAATAGATTTGGGAATCAATAGAAGAAAATCTGTAAAGATTTGAATTGTGGAGTCCTCAGTGCTCTCTGAGCCTAGTGGGTTTGCTTATGGACATTTAGTCAGACTCAGACAGCACCAAGGACTCTGCATAGAGAAGAAGAAGGATTGTTTTAATCAGCAGAAATAAATGTTAAAAAAAGAAACAGGTGATTATTTAAGGAAGATTTGACCCATCGGTCTTCCTGTCCTCTCCCTGATTCTAACTGATCATCAACAGTAAAGATGGTCAACAAGGTTAATAGATACAATATGTATAATAGTACAATATGAGTGGATCTCCTTTTAAGTGCCACAATCCAATTCGAATTGGGTTCCTCTCTCCTGCTTTCTTCTAAGAGATCATGTTCTTAATCAGTTGGCTTTAAAATGGGCTTACTAAGATCATCTCTTTCTAATCTTCAAGCAAAGCAGATTAACCACAGCCCTGAAAGAATCCAGCTACTGAAATGTATTACTGATTGAATTATTGCAACCGCTTTGAACTTTGTATTCACATAAGAGGCTTATTAACCTAGTTACTGAACTAACCCATTCATGACCCAGCTTTGCTGAACTCAAAACTGGAAAAGTTAACATTCTTGGAGAAGTGCATCTCCTAGGTCTCTTTACCTGGTTAAGTTTATTGTGTGAACACAGTGAAAATCCAAGAGGTTTAAATCCAAAAAGTGAAATAACTTTTGTCATGTCTTCTTACCACATTTATAAAGTTGGCTATATCAAATACTCTCCTCCTTATAGTAGTGATGCTGCGGCTGTACTTCCTGAACTACAGAAAAGACAAAAAGGTTAAGAAGAGATAATAATTGTTTTGGATGGAGGGACTGGAGCAGAGAAAGAAAGAACATGTCAGGGAAAGGAAAATACTTTTAAAAAATCATGGAATTTGCTGATTCAGACAAAAATAATAATTCTATATCCAAGGACTCCAATGAATTATTTTGTGCTGGTCATTTAGTTCTTAGTTTACTTTATTGTCATTGCATCTTGTACAACGAAATCAAACACCATCTTCAGTGCACATCATGACCATGAAAATAAACACAAACACACATCCTCACACTCCACACATTGAATTGAAAACCCCGACCCCACACCAACACTGTACTATATAGTAGAATTCAACAGAGCTACTGTCCTGGGATAGAAGCTGTTTTTCAGCCTATTTGTCCTGTACCGTCTGCCAAATGGTAATAGTTAAAAAAAAAGGGGGTGCCCAGGTTGAGATGGATCTTTGAGAATGTTTTGAACTTTCTTAAGGCAGCGGGAGCTATAAAGCTCTTCCAAAGAGGGGAGAGGACAACCAATTATCCTCTGGGCAATGATGTTAACCCTCTGGAGTGCTGTCCTATCTGCCACTTTGCAATTGGCAAACCACACACAGGTGCAGTAAGTTAAGATACTCTCTATGGTGCAGTGGTAGAAGGTCACCAGCAGTTTTCCATTCAGTTGTTGTTTTCTGAGAAGTCTCAGCTAGTATAATCTCTGCTGGGCCCTTTTGACCTTTTTAACTCTACACATGAATCTGCATTAATATATTAACATTATTATTAATTTTTCAGTACCACACATGGGTTTTCCTCCTGGTTGGAGAAAATTTTGGTCAGCCTACTGAAAACCTTTTCCTTAATTGGACACTATATTTCCCTGTTCAGAGAAGTGTGAGAAAAGCATTCTTCACTACAAACTGGATTTAAATTCCACCAGCCCGAGACCAATTTCCCTGAAAAAAATTTGCATAAGACGTTCTCTTTTGCAATAGTATTAAAAGGGGAAGCTCAGACTGGTATCTGGAAATTCACTGAGTTCATGAACATAGTTAATTTTACTGGCGGGAAATGTGCACATATTCAGAGAGTTCAAATTCCCCCAAGAGTTATTTTACTGTATTATTGCAAATGAGATTGGCTAAGTCAAAATGTGGATCTTATTTCTCTATTAGCCAAAGGTCAGCTTCTATTTGAGCTAGTGGTGGAGGAGAAATATATTTAATCTGAATGATAGTATGAAAATTAACAGTACATAATTTTGACCTTTTGAACCAATTTATTAATTGAAACTCATACTTGCACAAACACACATAAGGAGAATATCAATTTCAAATCAAATATTCATAAAAAATAAAAATATTTTTCCTGCTAGGGAAAGTTATCTTCAAAAATCAAGCAAAAGTGTAAAATAAAAAAAATATTCTGGGAAACATTGAAGCCAAAGTGTATTCATATTTCAATACAATTTAAAAAGCAACTTAAATGTAATGGTTCTGAAATAAATAAAAAAATAAGGGAAAGCAAAACAACCAGAGATGCCCACCCACAAAACCAATTCAAAATTCTTTTCATGAATTTTGCTCTGGATTTTGGAATGCTAGATTTCCCAGGTAGAAGAAATGGATGATGATTCTCTCTTTTACTCTTTTTTTTTTCTGTTTCAAAATTTCATTTATGTTCTCCATCTTAACTTCAACTTCCTGATCTTGGCATTTCTGGATAAACAATCATTAAAATTTAGATAAAGTCCAGGAACAGCTTAGTACAAATCAGACAATAATTGAATTTCAAATGTGCCTTAACTTTGTACATAGGGATCGGGTCCAATAACAAAAAACAAAAATTATCAAAGTATATTTTAACACATATTTTAGGAAGAAATCTAGTTAGAGTGTTGTATTTGGTAATGCCTTCAAAACACCCGCATTGAAAACAAAATTGTGTGCTCAATACAGAAAGAAAATTGGTATCCAGAATACTTACCATTCTGTTGTCTGCAACTACGTAAAACTCAACATATTTTTTGGCCTGCAAGTATTCCTTTTTCTAAACAGAACATTAAACAAAATATTGTTTAGACATGTTGCTTCCTGCAGTCAACAGAAATGTTGCATCCTCAGATAATCTTGTTATCCTCCCTGGACAAAGTATATGACCTTTCATAAATATTGGCTCTTTGAAGAAGACATGTATAGTGAGAGAGATTGTTAAAACTTCAGTATTTTAGAATGTGCTGAGAAATTTCTCAGGTGGAGAACATTATGCAATGATTGACCAGATTCACTTCATCAGTTTTGATTCAATCCTTGCTTCAATCCAACTTGATGATTCAAATCAAATTGGAAAATTGAATCAAGATTATGTAATGGTCTTATTAGACATCACAAAGCACTTTGATTTGATATTTCAAACCAGTTTCTCCCTCTATCCCCTGTGCATGCATAATAAAAGAGGCCTCCAATTGATAATTCAGTTAAACTTATTTCTAAACTGATTCAGAAAGTTGAGATGATTTGGAGATTCAGTTGAACCTATTTTGAACCATTTCTCTAAATTAAGTTTGCATGAACATAGAAAATGTTATAAACTGGAATATGTATTTTCTGTTCATTGAGTTTCCATATGTTCTTGTAGAGCATGGGTGGAATAGAATTTTAGTAATGAGGGAACCTATCTTCTGAATTCTTTTTAGCAGTCCCAGAAATTTCTCTTTCACTTTACATTTTAGAAACAAGTAAATGAACCCCTGTTTTCAAACCATGTTATATGAACTTACTTCAATACTCATGCTCATCCGAGAGGTCTTTTTGAAGGGGTCATCTGATTTCCAAGTAGTGTTGGTTACTCCACAGGTTTTGAACGTGTTGTCCTCTTTCTCCAGACTTTCATATTTGAAGAGTGCATGGGCTTCACTGTTGGAAAGCTTCAAAGGTTCAATAAGATACCTCTCACCATAATTCTTGAAATACCCTCTGAAAAACAATTGTAGATTATTTTTGAAAATTAGGATTAGAGCTGGAAATCCCATAGAAGAGAATATTTGGAGCTCAGGGTTCAACTGTGAGGTTCTTGGTGCTCCCTAAACTTGATTGTTTTCCTGCAAACATTTTATTGCTCAACTAGTAACATCATTAGTGGACTAGATGTTACCTGGTTGGGTAATGAAACATCTGCAAGAAAACAATTAAGCTCAGAGAGTACAAAGGATTCCATGATGAATAACCAGTTTTAACTAACAAAGTCAACATAAATTTGTGAATCTCTCTTTAAAATAAACTGACTTTTATTTTCTTTCCCTAGCTTACATATCACTTTCTCCTGCTTCTCAAAGACACAGCTAAACTCACAAAAAAATATAAGATATTGCACATTCTCAGTACAATGATGAATTAGCTATACAATTGTCAGCTATACAATATTTGAATGGATGTAGTTTGTCATGGAATCCAATAATGTATAATTCCTAAATTATTGTTTAAAAAGTAGAGAATATTTCTAGCTATGAAGATATAAGACTACACATGTTGGAAGATTCAGTTTTTGTGTATAAACATGTGTTTCATAGGGGTGAAATATATCTTATATATTTCCCTACTGTAGAGTCATTCAATCAAACCAATCTTTTGCTGCTCATAGATCAACACATAAAACATGAAAGTCACAATTAAGTAGGATGAAAGAGGAAAAAATATAATTGTTTTAAAATATCTAAGAGAAAATAGTGTGTACTCTACAAACTGCAGAATAGTACTTGGTTGTGGTCAAGGAAACGAAATAAGATTGATCTGATAATAACAACTTAAGATAAAAGTCAGAACTCTCAGGATATTTAGTAAAGAGCTGACATAATAATACCCTCAATACAGAATTATCATTTATTTGTTTGTTTGTTTATTTATTTATTTATACTGCTGCCTATTCACCCATGGCGACTCGAGGCAGCTAATAGAATGTCAAACCATATTTAAAATAAAAAACAATAAAAACTAATAAAAAGAATCAAATAAATTAATAAAGTACAATAGAACAAAATCTGGAAAAAAATAAATAAAAAATCACCCCCAACTCCCACCCACTGACCCGACGACAGCAGATCACATAAGCCATTTGATGGGCTCCAGCCCTCTCTGGGTTCCCCCTGCCCGCTGGCAGAACCAGGTCTTCAGTGCCTTTCGGAAGAGTGCTAGAGTGGGGGCCCTTCTCATCTCTGGGGGAATGATGTTCCAGAGAGAGGGAGCCACCACAGAGAAGGCCCAACTTCTGGGTCCCACCAGAAGTATCTCCCTCAGGGATGGGACCTGCAGCATTCCCTGCCTCTCCACTCTGATGGGTCAGGTAGATGTGACTGTCAAGAGACGTTCCCTCAGATAACCTGGTCCCAAGCCATGAAGGGCTTTAAAGATGACAACCAGCACCTTGAAGTGCACCCGGAAGCAAATTGGCAACCAATGCAGCTCCCGCATTGGTTGAAACATGTGCACACTAAGGTCTGCACAAAACCATGCAGGCTGCTGCATTTTGCATCAACTGGAGCTTCCAGTGTCTTCCCTCAGTAACAGCTGTCAGGAGGACATTGAATTAGCCTTATGATAATCTGACTCTTCTAATCTTTATACAGCTAAGATATCTAGTTGGTTGGAGAAAGTGTGCAGAATGGCTCAAGAAAGTGTTCCTAGTAGAACCAAAAGTCTGTTTGCCTCTTCCTGTACACTTCCTAGCTACTTCCTATACTTCCTTCACAATCTGAAACCTACTTATCTTCTTTTCTTGTAACATCAACTCTTTTGTACAAAGATAACATGGTCTTTGAAGCTCCTTTAAACAGAGATTTAGTTCCCTACTGTCTTTGTTGGCTGGCAGCAGCTCTTCTAGGTATCCAACCAAAATCTTTCTTAATTTTGCAGAAGTTTAGAAGTTACACAACTAATTTGCATAAGAAACTGATGTGCCACTTTTTAACTATGACAGCTTCAAGAACAGTAATAATATTTTCATTCTTATAAAATAAAGATAAAACAGTATCTTACTTCAAACCATGGCATGCATTAATGCTTGCAGTTGAGTCAGTATCATTCTGGATGTGGCCGTTATAATAACAGTGATCCTGTATGGAAGCAAGAAGACTACACTGGATTGGACTGTGATTTGTTAAGCAGGAATATGGTTCCCAACATATAAGTGAAGTAATGTGTAAGACAGAAAACAATCCAGAATATTTTGATTTGTGGGATACAAAATCTGTCTACTATTGACTGTTTCTTTTTTATTAGCTTACAATGTGAAATACAAAAATACAAAAGAAAATAGTAGAAAAGTAAGGGAAGGAGAATGTGTAGGGAAACGGGAAAAGAAAAAAAAGGGATTGACTCCTTTCGGTGCAGTAAAATAAGATAATAGCATCAGACCTCAACTTTTTACTTTTACATGACAGTATAAACTGTCCATTTCTAAAACAACAAAGCTGTCTAATCAGTAAAGCCCAAAATCAAAGTTTCACTTTTTTTCCACCTCAAGCACAAAGCCCAGAAGTGGTTTCCAAGTAGAAACAAAAGTAATGTGATATTTTTTTATCTTTAATCGAAGCGATCAGTTTAGCCATCTCTGCTAACTTCATCAACTTTTGCAGCCATTCGTCCACTTTGGGAATCAGAGTGACTGGTTGTTTCAAAATGAGCCCAGTAGAAACACAAATCTCCCTAAAACCAAGTTGCACCTGCACATATGTGCTCCAGAATTATTGAACTTTTCAACACAGCTTATATGGGAAAACTTAACCTGAATCCAAGGATATCCAAAGGATATTGCCAATAAGGACATATTGCTGGCACCATTGCAATACAAACCAAAAACAGGCAGAGCTTTGATGGCACCTTTGTGGCTGTTATCTTGATTTTTGTAAGCTGCACAGAGTCATTGCTTGAGATGGGTAGCTATAGAAATTGAATGACTAACTAAATCAATCAATCGACTTTTTAAAATTCATCATCAGAATGTTTCTCACTCTGTTCTACTACTTATTGCAGAACTGGGGGATATGTGAGCCTCCAGATTTCATAAACTCTGACGCCATCATTCCTGGACTGAGTCCATTAAAAAAAAATCTCAAAAATGTTCCCATACAAAGATGTTTAAAATGTTACCTAAAGATAGTTTGAAATTTACTAATGAGGAGGCTATAAATGGCTATGTAAAATACTGGAGCATTCCAAATGACAGTGAGAGAGACAAATACATGAAAAACAACTAAAGGGTAATAATGTTTTAGATTGGCAGTCCTCAGTGTACAATTTGTGTACAATTTGATGCACCAATGTGGCATTTTTCAAATCATCCAAATTGGTCATTAAGATCTCACTTTCCCTAGTCAATAATTTCTCCCCAGCCAGAGAAGGTGTCCCAGATGCTCTTTCTCATGATTTGACTCAATACCAGTTCTGATTCCCCCCCCCCCCTTATTTGGTGTATATGTTAGTAAAATCATTGGCTGACTTAGCATTTTGGACAGTGGCTAAAAATAAAAAGCAGACTCTGAGCTTTTCTTGCTTAATTGACAGAAAGAATAATTTTAAATGAAAGTCACTACTTAGTTATTTTCCTACCTGGCCCTATCGCCTGATGCAGGATTTTGTTGCTCAAAATTCTGTGCTTCTTTTATCAGGCTTTTGTTGACAAGGGGGAAAGTGGGGAGGGTGTTAGAATATTTTTTTCTTTTTCATTTTGCTAGAAGATGCTATAAAAATTTTTGCCTTTAAATCATTCTATTCCAAAGAGCAAGACAAGCTCATTGAGTCTCTACTTAGGAATGTGTTATGTATATACTATATGCATAAATACACTGAGAAATAGCATTTATGTCCAAGCTCTCTCCAGCACCAAAACCCAAAGAAAGATACACCTTCACACTTCCAGATCCAAAACATCATTTGCAAATTGATAACTGACTATAGGAAGAGGCTTTCTGTACAAAACCAATGTCTCTTGCAATATTTTGCAAAAGACAAAGAGTTACTCACTAGACTCTACTGTACAAACAAAAGGGAAGATGTTTTTCTGGATAAGTGAGATCTTAATGACCAATTTGGAAGACGTTTTTCTGGACAATATCAGGTCAGTACCAGCAATGTACTATCTGCTATAGCAAAACGAATGCTTTTAGAAAGCCCTCATGTGTTCTGACCCAAACCTGGTTCCAAGGAAGCAAACACGAGACAAAGGTAACAGCACAACCTTTTAATGTTTCTTTACAAATCCCGTTCCTTCATGGGTAAAAGGCTGATTCAAACCAATTAGCTCCGATAAGAAAGAGCCTTGCCAAGCTTTTGCAAGGCTGCCAAGAACACCAGATAAAGTTACTAAGCAATCATTCAAACACAAAGAGTCTCCAAACACCAACTCAGATATTCCTAATGTCCACCAAGCTCGAGTTATTTGCCTTCTGCAAATAACTGCAGTTTCTCAGCTGGCTTTTATCTCCTCAGGGAGGGGCCATTACCTTGCAGCCTTACTCCCGAGTCGCCCAAGTCTTTCCTTCGAGTAGCCCTGCGCACATGCATGCTGGGCACAGGCTCCTTGGGACCTCTTCATCGCTACTGCCAGCCTCCACCATCTCCGAAGGCAGCATTCAACTCCCTGATGGTCCTGGCCCCATCCCTGCATCACACGCAGGCCCCTCATCTGAGTCCTCACTCTCCGAGACCTCAGCCGTCCGCACCTGCTGCCGGCGAACCACAACATTAGGTGGAACTGGAGAAACCCTCCACCAGCAGGGTCTCTCTAGCATCAGCTGTTCAATTGTAGGTTATTTTGGATCATCGAGATCTAATTTGCCTTATCTTACAAGTAAATGACCATCAGCTAATCACTGCACCACCACGGCACTTTTCCCATCATCGTTGAATTGATGCAATGCAATCTGGTATGATGTCTTAGTGGTTAAGATGCTGGGCATGTTAGCTGGAAAACAACAGTCCACAATCGAGATCCAAGTGCTGAGTTCCTGTCACTTGCCTCCTGCTCACCTAGCAGTTTGAAAGCATGCAAATACGAGTAGACAAATAGGTACTATTTTGATGGAAAGGCAACTGAACTGTGTGTTTGCTGCATGCTTTGTGCTGTGGCATGATAGCTCATCTTCAGACAGTCTCAATGGCTTAAAGAAACAGATATAAGCACAACCCTGTAAAGTTGGCTACAGTTACTGGAGTAAAACATACAGGGGCTTTTCTTTAACTGTATCTTACACATAATTTAAATAAGATTAAAAAAAAAAAAAAAACTCCCTCTCCAGTTTAATCCGTGCAGCGTTTAGGACGCCAAATATGTGTTTCCTCATTTTAAATTAAATCAGATTCTTTAGCTTAGGTTTTTTTTATTCACATTTTTTTATTCACATTTTTTTATTCACATTTTGCTACATAAGTACCAATCTTGTGCCATTTAAATGGCTTTTGCCATTTCCTTTGAAAGTTCTCTAGAAGTCTTTAAGAGAAGTGCCTTGTTTGAAACAGATATCATCAGGAAGAAGGGATAAAAATAGAAAATTCTTTGAGTGTGTCAAAAAGGGGTGTGGGAAGAACTCCTTCAGACAGAAACTTAGAAAAGAAAGGAACTTGGTACAGTTTTATTGTCTTTTTAGTTAAATTAAATTTGTCACAGATCTGGAATTGTCTGCAAAGCAATGACTTCTTCATATTGTTTTAATTAACATAGTCATAATTTGTATTATGGCCTAATGACTTTTTCTGTAGAAAATTTCAAAGGACACTTGAGGCAATGCTGACTCAATTCTGGGAATTGAAGTCCAACACATCTCTTTAATTGATTAGTAACATTGAGATCTGTGTGTTTGGAGGGGGGAGAATCACCTGTGAGGTTTGGCTTGGAGTACAGACAGCAACACCTGTGTCCCTGTGATAAAGTTCCAAAGCTGAGATCTCTCAGCAAGCACAAAGCCACCCGGTCCCAAAAATAGATTAAATGTCCTCCCACAGAGATTGAAATTAAGGTGTACCAAAACCTGTGCTGATTATAAGTGAGATATGACCTTGCAAATACTGGTACTCAAATAGAACTGGCTTTGAACTGTTCTGAATTTAAGGAAGTGACTGTCTATAACAGAGAAAAATAATCACATGCAGTACACAAATGCCAAAAGACATTGAATTTCAAACAAATGCATTTTACAAATAATAAGTCTTGGTTATTTGGAAGTACAGAATATCACTGCAGGAGGAACCCCATGGATGCAAAAAGCTAGGAGCCTTTGGGCAGACAATCAACAAAGAAATATAAAATGTGTTCTTCAAGTTACAAGACCTTTTCTTCACCAACTTGGCCTTCTTGGAGGTCAACTCTACTACTGTACCACAGGATTTGCTGAATAAACTTGAAGACTTGCTCATTGTCCTATGTTCTGAAATCTTTTCATAATGTAGGGGGGAAACCCATATTTACTTATTATATCAATTACATGGTTATTTCCTTGAGCCCACATAATGAAAGCTTTGAGAAACACATCAGAGATATAAATACACAATATTAACACTATATTAAAAAGTCCTATATGACCTGGAAGACTCCAACTGGTGTTGTATTTTTAATTCCTAGAATCTTCTGGAGCAGAATCCATATAGACATCAAATTATCAAAATAGATTTCTTTTACACATTAAGTAAGAACAATTTGTATGACCTTTGAAGATGCTAACCCAGGAGTAGATATTTTTTGGAGACAAAGGGTACACTTTTAGATGAATTTGGGAGGAGGAGGGGGCCAAGGAAGTAAGATAGTGCTGTGATATTATAACAGGCTCTGGTCCATTTTAGTGTGAGGAACATAGAATGGGTTTCTATATTTTGTAGAAGCAAAGTGAATTATTCTTATTTTTGGTGTTCCAAACAAACGTTTTTGCATTTATCAGTGTAATCGGGTTTAAAAAGCAAAGTGGATCCCATAAATCTGATATTCTTTTAATAAACCTATTTGTGGGGCTCACTCCCCAAAATGTTTGCTTTTAATCAGTAGGAAAGAATTGGTTGATTGAAATATAGCCCTATTAATGCAATCAGTAGAGCAGACTGGGTTTTAACAACCCACACATTGTTACACAGAGCATGATCAATATAATGCATATTACAGCCCTTCTTGTTTGAATAGCCAGGTCTGGTATGTGCATGTTTTGAATATTGTGCACAAATAACCTTCTCCATTTATTTCATAAAAGTAAGATGCTCTGGATATTACCTCAACTGGAGGGCTGGTTGTAATTTCTCTGCCATCTGGGGAATAATAAGTCTCGCTGTAATCTTTTGAAAAAAGTTCCCTGGAAAGAATACAAAGAAGACATTATTTAGTCTTGGGAACAAAGATAATTGCATAATAAGTATACAACTACTGTATGCTGGCATTTTAAGGATCTTGTTTGGCATCAAAGGGAAGGAGCAGGTATTTCAATCTCATCGGGATTGCCATTTAAGAGGAGTGCAGAGCACACTGGATTCACCTTAGCAAAGAGCTTTGCACTAAGAAAACTCTGCAAGTCTCTTCATCAAGGCTCAGAGGAGGTATGATTTACCAGGGTAAGACATTTTGCATTGCTTCTTCTTTGATTCTTCTGGCCAAAGTAACAACCTGATGAAGCTGCTAAGGTCTGCAAAGGAGAACAATTTAGTTCCTTTTATTCCAGAGTAAAAGGGTTCAATATTGTTTCATGAAGCAACTTCAAGGCAATGAATACATTGAACCTTCATTCAGAAGCATCTCTCTCGCAGCCCCAAATCAACACAATGGAGTTAACTTTCTTCTCCTGCTGGTTATGCAGACACATTCATGCACTTTTCTTGGCATTGTCTTCCATTTTTCTAATATAGACATACACCTGGTATTTATTGCTGGCCTCCTACCTTTAGCTCCAAGCCCAAACAAGGTAATCCAGATCAGGTGAAGTCCCATGGGATGCTTAGATCTGGCCCATGGGGCCACCCTGGAAGTAGCAAAGGACTGGCCTGTGGGGCCTCTGCCAGCAAAAACAGAGCTAGGGAGAGCCACGTGCAGCTCTCCTGAGCTCTGTTTTTGCCTGCAGAGGGCTGCAGGAGGCCGCTGCAGCCAAAAACGAAGGCTGGGAGGGCTGCTCTGTTCTTGCTGGCAGGGGGCTGCAGGAGGCTGTCATGGCCCTCCCGGGTTCCATTTTTGCTGACACAGGTGCCCCTGACATGAGTGACATTGAGCTGGCCACGCCTGCCCTGGCCACACACCCCAACCCCCTGAGGTAAAACACAACCCTGATGCGGCCCACAATGAAATCGAGTTTGACACCCCTGATCAAGATGCTACCCTGAAGTTCGACGCAGCCTGCATGTTTAGACAATAGGAAAAGGTAACATGATAATTTCTAAAAAACACATCATCTAATTTAACACAAAATGTCTCAACAGTATAAGATAAAGTGACACACACATGGGGCACATTTCTTTACCGTTCATCCTTAATAATTAGATTAATATACATTTCGAGGGCGCGTATAACAACATGGTCGATAGAAAAATATATTCTAAAATCAAAAGTGGGAAATCATTCCCCAAGCATTCAGTATGTATCTGGGTCTTAATGTTAATATTAAATTGCATCAGGGCTTCAGGTATTCTAAATAATTGTTCTCATGTTTTCCATGCAGTGGCTGCTACACTAATTTCAACTTTGATGTGACATTCACCGGATTTCAGGCAATGAAAATGGCACACCTCCTTTTAGCAGTAGAAGTAGTTTATTTACAAGGGAGAAATATTTATTTATTTATTTGTTTGTTTGTTTGTTTATTTGTTTGTTTGTTTATTTGTCAAAAGCTTACAATATAACAAGAATAAACATAAGTTTCAATACAAGAAATAGGAACTAATAATTGGGGACAATAGGACAGGGACGGTAAGCACGATCGTGTGCTTATGCACGCCCCTTACAGACCTCTTAGGAATGGGGTGAGGTCAATAGAAGTTAGTTTGAGGGTAAAGGATTGGGGGTTTGAGCAGGTGACAACAGAATCAGGTAGTGAGTTCCAGATGTTGACCACTCTGTAGCTGAAATCGTACTTCCTGCAATCGAGTTTGGAGTGGTTTACATTAAGTTTATATCTGTTGTGCGCTCTTGTGTTGTTGTTGTTAAAGCTGAAATATTCATTAACTGGTAAGATGTTGTCACATATGATTTTATGTACTATGCTTATGTCCAATCTTAGCTGGCGTAGTTCAAGGTTGTCTAAGCCTAGAATCTCAAGCCTGGTGGTGTGGGGTATTCTGTTGTGAACAGAGGAATGTAGTACTCTTCTGGTAAAATACTTCTGGACTCACTGAATTGTATTTATGTCTGATATACAGTGCGGATTCCAGACAGCAGAGCTGAATTCAAGTATTGATCTCGCAAAGGTTTTGAATGCCCTAGTTAGCAAAACAGTACTACCAGAGGAGAAGCTTCATAAAATTAAATTTACAATTCTTAAAGCCTTTTTGGCAATACTGTTGCAGTGAAAAATAATTTCAGTCCCTGTCTATTCCCCCTATCAAAACAAAGCTGCTAATAAAAATGCAGTGGCCTGGCTAGACAAGTCAATGAAAGACCCAAAACCTGTTCCGCTAGTTAGTTATTATGCAGATATAAGCCAGGTGGCAAATCTACTTATTGTTATCTTTATAAGTATCTTGATTTACAGTTCAAATGGAGACCGTTGAGAGGAATGAAATGGCATTCTTAACACACACACAAAAATAGGCTGTGTTGAAATCTGGACTTGTTTAGGTCATGTCCCCTTTCATACCTCAATAGGACATGACATTTCATTACATTCATGCTTCAACATGTAAACTCTGATGAAAATTGAGCAGTTATGAGCCGTGATGGTTAGAATGCAATACTGCAAGGCTACTTCTGCTGGGTGCTGGCTGCAGTTTCGCAGTTTAATTCTCATCAGCTCAAGATTGACTCAGCCTTCCATCCTTCCAAGGTTGGTGAAATGAGGAGCCAGATTGTTGGGGGCAATAGGCTGACTCTGTAAACCACTTAGAGAGGGCTGTAAAAGCACTGTGAAGTGGTGTATAAGTCTAAGTGCTATTGCTATGTAAGGCTCTTAGGAAAAGTGATACAGATTGATGAGGTGTCTGTGGAGCAGCATAAATGTGTAACCAATGATTTTTAAATTTCTAATATTTCATAACTAACCTAGGTAATTCAAGGGACCAAAGTTTATGAGCCTTGAGTGATTCAATTTTATTTAGAATTGTTATGGTCCATCAGTGTACCATAGAAAGCAGGAAAAATAAATTCTGAATTCTGAGGTAAGACATAATTAACATGTTCACTAATTATATCCCCTTCTCCTTTACAATAATTATATTTAATTTAACTCAATTAACTAATTTAATTTAGTTTTAATTTCCCAAACAAAGCAATACAATTTAATTTCTCTTGGATTGTGTCCAAGAATATAAATTTTTTCACATCATCTTAGAAAAGTTAAAGGAACTTCTGAGTTAACTTACTTATTTTTTTCTAGGTGAAGGACCACTGGCTCTCCATTCACTTTAAATTCATATTGCATGGTATCATCATACTTAGTCTGAAATGCAGAGTTCAGTATTTATTTAGAGAAACAACAGATGGTATTCTTTAAAAAATATGCAAATAAAATGTATGTATTCTTAACAACTCAGCACCAGTGTCAAATGGAAAGTTGCAGCAAATTCATTTATTACATATGGATTATTTCATCTGTGATGCTTGAGAGCCACTGTAAGATCTTCTTAAATTAAACTTTCTCCAGAAGTTCAAGGTTTTCTTCTCCAATTCAACATCTGGGTGAATGAGGTTGTATTGGGACACAGTGACTGACTCAAAAATTATCCCATGAGCTTTTCTATGGCTGAGGATGGACCTGAATCCAATCGCTGGTTTTAACCTCACTATGCCTTTTTCATCCACAAATACAACTTTTATATTTAAAGTGATGCATTTTGGGAATCCAGAAAGTATAATATTTTGTAAAACATTAGGAGGCTGTATATAAGTCTAAGTACTATTGCTATTGCTATTTTCATATTGCTTGCTTCACAGTTGCCACAGTTACCCATCATCTTTGATCCAAGACCGTAAAAAGGAATGTCAAAGTCAAGTATTAACAGTAGTTGTATTAACAATATTAACTTATTAACATGGTGAAATTTGAATTTTGTAAGATACCTAGAGTCTCCACAATTGTGTTGAATTGGGTGGCCATATAAATTTGTTTAATAATAAATCATTAATTACCCACGCAGTTGCATAGATTGCAATGCAAAAATCCATAATAAGCAGATGGCAATTCTAGCTGGCAGCAAAAGGATACCAAAAGTTATGTTGGCTGACAACAGAGTAATTAGCCAGACTCAATAATCCTGAGTAATAGGATTTTTCGCTCCCATGAAATATTAGGTCTGTATAAGTTTCACTCAAACCATGTCAAGTGTGTCAAATCTTCATATAAGTGTGCAAAGATTGTCTCAGATTTCTGCAACTTGACAGATTTTTAATCAAGGTGAACCAGACCTTTGAAAGTTTGTAGTCTTACGAGATTTATGGTATGTCTATCTAAAAAGAGGAAACCATTCTTTACTTGCAGCTGTCTATGAAAATCGATCTATGCAAATATTATTCAAACTATTATTCAAAGGTCTCTAGGATCCTAGACAGGGGTGGGATTCTACAGGTTCGCACCTATTCTCTAGAACCAGTTGTTAACATTCTAAGCAGTTTGGAGAACCGGTTGTTAGAAGAAATTACTGGCCTAATCCTGTAAGGAGGGCAGGAAGGAAACATTCTGGTGTTGCTTACAGAAACTGCCTCTCTGTTAACCCTTATTACGTTCTTGGCAGGACTAGACTTCCTGTCTCAGGAACGTCTCTGGAGTTTTTTTCCCCCTCCTTTGCTGGTACTTTGCTTGTGTAGAGTGACCATTTAAAGTTACAATGGCACTGACAAAAGTGACTTATGACCATTTTTCACACTTACGACTGTTGCAGCATCCCCACAGTCATGAGAGGCCAGGCGAGGAGATGCGTGCCTCGATGTGAGTGATGTTGAGTTGGCCACGCCCAGCCAATCACATGACCACCAAGCCATGCCCACCACTTAAGCCATGCCCCAGAACCGGTTGTTAAAAAATTTGAATCCCACCACTGATCCTAGACAATACCAGATCCAATCTAAAAATGAAACAGGTGATAGGTTCCAAATTATAACCTCCCTCCCATCATCATTTTTCATATTCTATGAACTCTAACAAATATGTGACTTTATAACCATAAAGCAGAACAAAGTAAACTTTAAAAATGAACAATAAAAATAGTTGAGACATTGCCCTAAGAACCAGACTGCAAAATTTTGAAAGAAGTGTAAATTTAACTCGGGTTCACATGAATCTTGAGCAAAACTCAGGATCAGATTCATCAATAAATAAGTTGATGGAAAGCAAATCTTTTTTCTTACTTTTTGGTCAGGCTTCTGAGACTCTCCTATGTCTCTTTTGTGCAATGCATGAACTTTTTGTGGATACACTACTTCATAATCCTTAACCTTCCAGGACTCCTTTGTACAGCTCGCTTCACAAAGAAAAGAAAAGAACAGTTCACTTTGGTATGTTATTCTACCCTTTTCACATCTACAACACAATTTGTTATTCGGTTACCAATGGAGAATGAAAATAGTGGAAAACCACTTCCATTTTGCAGTCAAACAAACTACATGACCATCACCATGTAATTACCAGAAGCTGATTGAACTCAAGATTGTTTCTCCTACAGTAGATGTTGCAACTGGGAGACTGGCAAAGGGATTTATTTATTTACTTTTTAATCCAGCCTTTCCATCATGTTGTAAGCATCTAATTAGTCCAGTACACATTATAAAAAAGGATAACAATAATTGTAATTGTAAATTGCAAGTGAAAACAAAACAATAAAGTAAAGTAGGAACAGCCACCCAGTAGGGGGGAAAAACTTGATATCCAAACACCTACAAAAGTGAGACAGTTTTTATCATCTGCTTCCATGCAAAAGAGAGAGAGACAGGGAGAGGAAGAGAGATTTCTTAAAGTAGAGAGGGACTGAAGTCTAAGCATTTGGCCATGGAAATGTATCTTCTGAGACTGACTGACATCTTCGAAAGATAACCCCAGGCAAAAGATTACATTTTCCTCATACTTTTATGTACCTGATGCTGCCAGAAACCTGGGAGGGGTGTGATTGCTTGCCCGACTGATAAGAAAGGTTACTATTCTCTCCTGCTTAGAGCACAGAAAAAGCAGCAATTCTTCTTTACTATATTGTTCTCTACCAATTACTGTTCTAATTTTGGAACTTGACTCCTGGTAAAGGCAACCCAATCTTTCCTTGCTTAAAAAAACAAAAATCAGGGTTACTCCAATGAGCGTCTGGTTCTTAATTGTGTTTGGGAAGCATCTGAATTAGTCGAGTATCATTATTTGTAATGATATGTGGGAAAGATCTGGGAGATAGGAGGAAGAGCCACAGACAGGTCAACTGGCTTGTAAAAGGTATCTCAGCCCATAGAAGGAAGGAGAACGTGGGAAGCATTTCAGAAGGGATTGTGGGGTTTTTGGAGAGTGAAAGCACAGAGGGAAGAAATAATTTCAGTCTCGCAAGATGCTGTTAATATGCCTTTACAGAGAACTAATATTCATGGTTGTGCTTGTTACCTAGACCAGGGGTCCCCAACCACCGGGCCGCACTCTGTACCGGGCCGCAAATAAAAAAAAATTTAAAAAATGGCGGCTTTCTTCGCCTTCGGTGAATGCTGCTGGGATCAGGGATCAAGGACACAAATGAAAGAAGGGGAGGGAGGAAGCAACCAAAGCCTGTCCTACTCTCCGGCTCAGCGGCTTCCTGCCTCGTTCCTCTCTCAGTCGCTCTCTCGCTCCTCCACCAGCCCAGGAAGAAACTGCTTCAAAGAAGCCGGGGGGGGGGTGGCTTTTCCTGTCGCCGCAGCTCCTCCGAAGCGCCCGTTCACCCCCATCCCGCCCGCCCGCCCGCGGTTCAATCCAGTGCTCAGTTCTGCCTGCCTGCCTTTGTTTCTGGTTGATTCGGAGAAGCTTCGGCTGATAAAAAGAGGCGAATAGTTATTATTCTCAGCTGAAGCTGCTCCCAAACAACCAGAAACGCAGGCAGGCAGGCAGGCAGGCAGAACGGAGCACTGGATTGAACCGCGCGCGGGCGGGCGGGGTGGGGGTGAATGGGCGCTTCGGAGGAGGTGCGGCGACAGGAAAAGCCACCCCCCCCCGGCTTCTTTGAAGCAGTTTCTTCCTGGGCTGGATGTTAGAGGTCCATCGTAGCTCTGAATGATCCCTAAACAAGGACTACAGGAGCTTCCTAGGGAAAACACACTGACTAAATGCTCCTCATTCAATTTCTGTTTTCACCAAACAGAGATAAGAGAAACATCTGCATGAAATTTTGTAGCTACACAGCTGGGCAAGACCTAGAATTAGAGAGACTGCAGTCAGGTGTCTTTAATGCTAGTTGTAGGGTAAACATAAAGTTTTGGGAATGGAAAATAGAATCTCCCCCCCCCCCCCCCCGGTCCTTGAAAAAGTGTTTCTGCTTGAAACTGGTCCCTGGTACAAAAAAGGTTGGGGACCACTGACCTAGACTACCTCAGAGGGCTAGCATTTTTTTAATTGCTTTATATTTTGAATTACTGCAGTAACACTGGGTAGCTAATAAAATACTGTAATGCTAAAGAAAGAAATACATAACTCCTTCCATTCATCATTGTCCCTGTTCTAGGTAAAATGTAGATCAGGGGTCCCCAAACTTGGCAACTTTAAGGCTTGTGGACTTCAACTCCCAGATTTCCTCAGCCAGCTGGCTGGAGAATTCTGGGAGTTAAAGTCCACAAATCTTAAAGTTGCCAAGTTTGGAGACCTCTGATGTAGATGTTCTCAGAGCTCGAGGCTACTGAACAAACTGCTCTTCAACCCAGAAACTAGAAAGCTCCCTGCCTTCAGCTTTAAAAGTAAATAGACTGAGTCTCGAAGGGATAGGTGAGGGTTGGGCTGTGAATAAATGTAAGCATATTTATCAAGAACACAAAGTCAAGGATGAATCGGCCAGAGAGGGAATTATGAATCACTTGTACATAATAGAGAATTCTTATGTGCATTTGGAGTCTTTCGGTCTGGTTCAACATTTCTACAGTCCTCTTTTCTGGCCTAGAGTCTGAAGTAAGCTGATACATCCATTCTGAAAGTCCCTCCTGTAATTCCCCTCAGAGGATGAGTGGGATGAAGACTAGAATATTTCTCTACAATTAGGGATACTTCCCTAATACTAAAGGAAGGGAGTATCTGAGCAAAAAAATGAAATGTTCCAGCTCCTAATTTCTGATTCAGAGTAATTCTATACATACATACATGCATGCTCAGGACCTTGCCCCCTTGGACTTAAACATGGCCTTTCCAAATTCTTGATTGACCCTTATCTACTGTATCATACTGGTTATCTGCAAAAACTCAGGGTGTCATGTCATAACCTGTTGTGGATAATTGCCAACATTTTGTGGGCACATTCTGTTGGGGGCTTTTCTCCCACAAATACTATCATCTATCTATCTATCTATCTATCTATCTATCTATCTATCTATCTATCTAT